AAGTAGGGCTAGTTAAGATCATCAATAACCTCGCTTTTTCGTTTCTGACAAACGGACAATTACCTTTTATTTCGAGTAGAAGACATAAATAAACCGCTACCCAGTATACCATTTGACCAAAACGTGTATAAATTTTTTCGATATAATCTCCTACGTGGTAACACCTGTTAACAGAGTCAAACTATGGTTACAAAATTATTGTTAAACTGACTACGACCACCAAAACACAATAAATAAGCATTGTTGATTATATAAAAAATTTATTTTTCTTTATTATCTTCGACAAAAAGTAAATAGTTTGCATTCTAGACCAAATTCGTGTCTATGGATATTTCCGTGGAAATTGTTTCATAAGATCAAACAGATATTATGTTAAATTTGGCATGAAATCCTTTTATAAACATCATGTTGGCATTACCAACGTAAACTGAGGGGGAAACAGCAGTATTAGGTAATAGTTGAGGCAGTAAAAAATTAATATAAGAACAGAAGTTAATGGTCACACATGCAGAACACATAGCACACGCAGTGGCATTTGTTCTCTGCTTTTAACCCATCCTAGTACTAGGAGCAGTGGGCAGCTATTGTACAGCGCCCAGGGAGCAATGGGGAGTGAGGGGCGTGGGGGGGGAGTGTCCGGTGACTTGCTCAAGGGCACCACGGCAGGGCCCAGGATGTGAACTGAGACCTCTCCAAGCACCAGTCCACACTAATGCATCATTGCCCCAAAAGAAGAAGTGTTTATGTTTGGAACTCTTCCAAAGAAAGATGATAGTCATGAGTTTGCTTCTTTACTTTCCTTTCAACAGTCACATTAAAACAGTTACTAAATCAGCCTACTATCACCTAAAGAATATTTCTAGGATTAAAAGACTAATGTCACAGCAGGATTTGGAAAAACTTGTCCATGCTTTTATCTTCAGTAGACTGGACTACTGTAATGGTGTCTTTACAGGTCTCACTAAAACATCTATTAGAAAGCTGCAGCTGATTCAGAACGCTGCTGCTCGAGTCCTCACTAACACTAAGAAAGTGGATCACATCTCTCCAGTTCTGAAGTCTTTACACTGGCTTCCTGTGTGTCAAAGAATTGATTTAAAAAATATTGCTCCTGGTTTGTAAAGCTTTGAATGGTTTAGGCCCAAATTGCATTTCTGACCTCGTGCTAAATTATGAACCATCCAGATCTCAAAGGTCTTCAGGGACTGGCCAGCTTTCTGTCCCCAGAGTCAGAACTAAACAATGCCTTGCCATATATTATAGATCTCAGATATATACAATATATGTCTATGATGTGTTTTGCTCAAAATACCATACAGATCACCAATTCTAGCCATCCCTCATTCTGGGTCCTTGGCTTTCAAAAAGTAAAGAAAAAGAGGGGCGCGAGCTTATGCAGGAGAATTCTACCCAGATACTCAGCTAAATGCTGCCGTGATTAAACGCCATCATGTGCAAAACCACATCAAGGATTATTTCTGAAACAGTATGGAAATCAAAGGCTTTCTCTCTCGCGGGTTTACCACAAGGTGAGTTCCTTTTTATATCCTGCTTCTTACACATACTCTCTCCAGTACAGGTTAGCTCTGAGTGTTAGCGATGCTTGCTAATCTAAACAAAGACCATATTACTTCCAGAACTTTGCGCATTGTCGATCGTAAGTAATATCGGCAGCAAATCTGGATCAGCTCCGTTGTACCCGCGTTTTTAGATATTTGGGTACGGAGGAAAAGAGAGAGGGTTTTGTTTTCTTTACACACATTTATGTATAAAAGACATACAAAAGTGGATTTTGCATAATAGGAGACCTTTAATGTTGACGTACCTGCGGCAGAGGGCAGCAGCCCCACTTGTCTGTCCGGTCCATGAAGCAGCAGGTGGTGTCTTTGGGGCAGCTGGTCTGAGCGTCACACATGTTCCTGGCGGACGGAGATGAACCGGAAACGGCCCGGCTGGGCTCCCTCTGCAGGGCGGGGGTCTTCTGCAGCCAGGGCAGGTTGAGGGCGCCGGGCTTATCACACGTCTGCTCTGCCACGTTACATTTGTAGCCTTTAGGGCAGCAGTGCTCATGATCGTTACAGCACACGGCCTTGAAAGAAGAAGACAAAAAAAGGGTGTTAAATGCTGCCTGACATCCCTGTAAGCATCACATCTCAGCTCAACAGATGGAAGGGATTTTATGCAACGTGACTTCCAAAAAATGACACAGAAGTAAAAGAATGTCAAGCAGATCTGAATAATTTCTGCTCGTATTTTTACAAAAACTCAGCTGTTTTGATAGTCCAGTAATCAATGTCTCGGATTTCATTATCAGCCTCATTTTTGACATGTGATAAAGTTCCAAAAGAGCTGCTGTTTTAAGAATCAATAAATTCTCATTTACCAGTTATGATATAATGTTTTCCAAAATATTACGCAACACAATTTTCTTGGTTGATTTCATTATAATAAAATGTGTATTTAAAAAGCTTCTTTATGTCACTTTTTTCACTCATATCAGCCAATCAGAGGCATGAATGCAGCATGATTTCCAGCTTAGATGAACAGAATGGGAAAAAAAACTGAAAGAATACCTGGGTAAGTACAAGTACCTCAAAAACATACCCAAGTACAGTACTTAAGTAAAAGTATTTAGTAGCCTTCCACCACTTATTTTTCATTTGTTGGTATTGTGTTGTTGTGTTGGCTCCTGTGGGTGACTTTGTTAAATTCCTACCTTGAGACTTCATCTTTAAGTATTTAAATTATTAAGCTGTGATATTTTAGGTCTAGAAGCCAGTAATAACCCCCTTCCATATTATACCGAAGAACAAACAAACCCTCAGAGTAAGTACTGACCTGCCCCCCCCCACTAAGCGCTGACAGTGTGAAGAAGGAGACACTGACCTGAGGTAAGGGGCAGCAGGCCCACTGCCCGGAGTAGTTCTTACAGCAGGTGGTGCCTCCTGGACACATGGTCTGCTTGTCACATTTCTCCGCCTCAACCTCAGAGGTCAGAGCCGGGACCCTCTCCACCCAGTGGAGGGGGGGTGCGGCCCCCGCAGGGCCGTCGCAGGTTTCAGCCTCCAGGTTGCAGACTGTGCCGTGAGGGCAGCAGTGGAGGTGGTCCTCACAGCACGTGGCCTGGCAGGAACACAGGATACACACCAAGTGAGTGTGTGTGAGGGCATACTGTTTTTAGATCATCATAAAGCCTTGCGAAATACCTTAATATTCATATTATATTAGGCTATATTTTTCTAACGTTTGAAAACCTGTGATTGTTGTTAATGTTTTATAGTGAAATATATGGCACTAAAGATTTGGAGAGCACATCATATTTAGTTAAGCAAGATAAGGATTTTTTAATTCTTTTTATTTACAGATCAAAAAATATGTTATGCTTTGATCTATTTTCACTATATTTAGTTTTAGTCTAAAAAGTTTAAGATTGACATTTGTGATTCTACTGGGAGTTGGAATCCAACAACTGGTACCATTTATGGTAGAATATGTTGTCAAGTAGTAGGAGCTGTGTTATTAGGGGATTGTGTGATTACCCCAGAAGAATACGGGTAAAAAACATAAGGGAAAAAAAGGAATATAGATGATAACATTTCACACATAACAAATATATATTCACTCAATTGCCAGTTTATAAGTCACACCTGATTTAAACGTATGTATCATACAAAAATCCTGAAAAAAAAAAAAATTCACAACATCACACACTAAAGCTTCCAAAACTCCTTAAAAGAGTTAAAATAACCTTGATGGAGGAGGATGTATTACAGCTGAAGCGAATAAACTAGCATCTGAATGTTAATACATGTAATAAAAACTATGAATATGTTGTAATTATGTTGCAGTAAGGAAGGAAGCATTTTCTTTCTGTGCATGCCTTTACGAGTTTACAACCTTGTCAAAAAAATCTCCAGATATTCTGACAAAAAGCAGTGTCATCATAACCAGAGTCCATTTGTACCTCCGTCAGCGGGCAGCAGGCCCAGCCTCCAGCCTCCGTCTTGCAGCAAGTGGATTTTCCAGGACATGATGTTGACTTGTCACATTTGCTGTTGTCGCTCACTAAGGGGAAGACGGGCAGTTTGCTGAGCCAGGGCATCAGGGTGCCGCCAGACGGGTCGTCACACGTGGAGGCTGCCAGGTTACAGACGGTGCCGTGGGGACAGCAGTGCAGGTGGTCCTCACAGCACGTGGCCTGCAGGGAGGAAAAACAAACAGAACACAATAGCATTTAAAGATAAAGTCAAACAACTGATACGTACCATACGTTTGATAACATTCAAAAACCCAGAATATAAAGAAAACTGTCAAATTTACTCAGAAGCAAACTTAAATGCAACCCACAGCAAAATATACAACAACAATTTATATCAAATAAAGAATCATTAAAGTAGCCTAAATATTAACCCCAAAAAACTCAGGTATTATGTCTACCTATAATATATGGATCTTTCTTTTTTTAATGCATTGTAAAATAGTAATCCTGCTAGTATTATTCAATTTAAATCAATGTTTTTTTTTTAAAATGTAATTGTAATCGAATACAGTTACCTTATAAGTTATGCTTTTAAAGGTCCCATGTCATGGCCATTTCTACTGATCATAATTCCATTGTTGAGGTCTACTAGAATAGATTTACATTGTTCAATGTTCCAAAATCACATTGGTTTCTCAAACAGCATCTCTGTATAGTATGTGTATTCACTCTGTCCTAAACGGCTTGTTGGAGCTCCTGCCCCCCCCCCTCCCTATGAGCCCAGTGGCCGTCTGCGAGACAGCGAGACACAGCCCAAAACCAGCCCGAACACACACACACACACACACGCAGCCTGGCTGGGAGTTTGTGTGTGTGCTCAGTGCTCACACACCGACTCACAGCCTCGCCACGTCCCGCCGTCTCAGGGAGGAGAAATCGGCGGAGCTGCAGCTGAGAAAAGATTGAGTGTGTGAGGAAGTCCACAGACTTCATTTTTTTTTTAATGGGAACTAATTTTGCAGGTCTCCCTTGAAAAAGAGATCTATGATCTCAATGGGACCAATCTGGTTGAATAAAAAAATTAACGTAACGGATGGGTCCATTTTGGTCGTCGTTACGTCACTTAGTATCAGGAAGAAAAAGAGAAATCTCCAACGAGGCGTTCTGGGGCAGCAGAGACAGGTGTTAGAGTTTTACTCGCTACAGGGTGTACTTTGAGGGTTTTTGACTCTGCAGACCGTTCACATGCAGAAAAACCTTCATAACACACAAGGGGACGGGTAATAACCAGAAAAGCATGACATGGGACCTTTAAGTGCTATCCTCATGAGTCGTTGTGCTTTTGAATCCTCTGTAAAAATCAAATAATTGGCATCTTTGAAGGAAAACTGTCAACTTCTTCCTCCTATTTGAACTATACTTCTGGACAATAATGTGCTAAAACTCCCCAAAAAGTCTGAATATAAGCGGAATGACTTGATATTTCTACATGAGAATGTTGCAACAATACAATTTTACTGAGCCGAGATTAGGGGAAAAGGCTTTTTTTTTTCAACCGGATCTCTGGAGTGGAGTTGTGTGTCGAGTAATTCAGTGCAGCTGGACAGAAAGCCGAACACAGTCAGCGTGTGTGACTCACACACATCAGTATGTGGATACCTTAGGTAACGGACAACAGGCCCATCCTCCCTCTGACGATTTGCAGCAGGTGGACCCCTCAGCGCAGGCCACAGAGCTGTTGCAGGGAACAGCACCGACTGGAACACAAACATCCTCATCAGTGCACACGCAGGAAAAGATTATCTAAAAAGAGGAGCATTGCATTCCGATGACACCATCGTTGGACTCATGCTGGAAAGATGTTTTTAAAGAACAAATCAAATCTATGCAGCAAAATAGACAGATATCATCTTTTAATTTGACGCATTCTTCTTACTTTTCGACACCTGCTTCCTACATTGCATTATGTTTTAATTAATTGCAGTCTTGCAGATAAATGTCTGTTAGATGAACAAAACAATGTGTCTCTTCATAACATGTGTATGGATACCTGGAGTTTTTTTTGTGTGGATACTTTTAAGATAAAATAAATACTCCACACATTTTTCTTAGAGAACTTAGGGATTTTTAGCCTTTGTAGACTATTTACATGTACAAACATCTGTATAACACACTACAGGAAAGGGAATACTTATCAAGAAGGTCTCTGTGTGTGGAAAGCAAGTTCTGCTTTAAGAAGGATTTCCTCTCTTTATGAAAACCGTACCTCTCTGACCTTTGCTCTGGACTTCCACCAGCGGTGTCCCAGCAGCGGTGATCTTCAGGGACAGGGTGCTCTCTCCCCAGGCCTCCACACAGGCGCTGTGGACCAGGTCACAGGCAGTGCCTTCAGGACAACAGTGGATGTGATCTGCGCAGCAGACAGCCTGGAACAGGAGAAGACAGTAAAGAATAATCACCTGATAATAAACTAGTTGACACCCAATAATGACTGCTATGAAAATGTAGTCCTCATTTATTTACACACACACACACACACACACACACACACACACACACACACACACACACACACACACACACACACACACACAAAAGAGATTAGGTCTTGCGGATTCTGGTTGTGGTCCCGGTTAGTTCAGGTTACTCACATCAGGCATAGGACAGCAGCCATATGTGCCGTTGGTCACCATGCAGCATGTGGTCTGGTCAGGACAAGACGACATCTGGTCTTCACATGGAACTGAAAGGGCGAGAAGCCAGACCAGACAGATGATCAATACGTGTTTGCTAATCTCAAACTAGCGATTACAAAAATATCCAACTAATTTCCAGTCGTAACTGCTCACCGTCCTTAGGTACAGCAGCAATCTTCTTCAGCATGGGAACGCTCGTCTCACCAGACTGGCAGACCCCATGCTCCAGGTCACATATTGTGTTGCTAGGGCAACAGTGGAGATGATCGCTGCAGCAACTCGCCTGCACGTGATTTAGGCATCAGACACAGAGTCAGTGAGAAAATCACAGTATGTTTAACGAGAAAAATACTTTTTCTTGTTTAGCTAAGGAGAGCTGTGATGAGATGTGATGAGATGGCAATCTCTGGAATTAAACAGTAAAACATTCATTTTTGCTGCTGCAAACGAAGATCATGTCGGCTGAGCAGTGTGCTTTTACATGTGTTGTAAATGCTACTAATCTTCTCTACTTGTACATCATACATACTTTTTTGTTATTCAAGTATTATGTATTGAAAATGTATGATGTCTTATCCTGCCCTATTTTAAACAATTGTCACTTCATCTTATTACATAAATAAGCAGCAGTGGCATTCTCCAAAGCCCTTACTAAACTGTGTGTATGTACACAACAATGACAAATGTTTATGTATACAGTAATTACCAAGAGCTGAAACATACAGTAAAGCACACCTAACAAAAATAAATCTTTACAAAAGCATATTTACAGCTGCAACTAACACATTTTCTTGATTAACAGTCTAACATTTGGTCACTAAAATATCAAAAAATAGTGTAAAATACCATGGGAAAATGTATACTAAAATGAAACAGCAAACCTCACATTTGAGAAGCTGAATATTTGGTATGACTTAATCAAACAACTGAACGTTTGGCGATTCCTCTCTATCGAGCAACTAATAAATGTCTCAACAAATCGACAAATCTATCTTCGACAGACTAATAAGTACCTGTGGGTAGGGGCAGCAGCCGTAGTCTCCGGAGGGAAGCTGGCAACACGTATAACTTTCTGGGCAGCTGCTTTTTCCATCAGGACATGTCACTGCATCGGCCACAGGAGCTACAAAAACATAAAAGTAAGAAACAGCGTCATCAGCATACATAAAGACTCTTTCCAGCCTATCCAGACAATGTGTTAGAGCGCTAGCCAATAGAAGCATATGTGTTACATAGTGATGTATACAAGCAATGTTACAGAAGTAAAACATAAGGAGTCCAATGTAGGTGTTTCAGGTATGTGGCAGAGAAACTCTCTCTGAGGGGAAGTCTTGGATTTTTACCTTTGCAGACCATTTACATGCACAAAAACCTAAATAGCACACTACAGGAAAGGGAAAACCCCAACAGCATAATAGGGCCCCTGAGAAAATGTAAGTATTGGTTGCCACTCAGTAATGAACTTATGCTGATTCAGTCAAAAATTAAAGTTACTTTTTTGTAAATGGGAAAAGCCCCAAAAAAACATAATAGGAACCCCTTTAAAAATCTATTTTACATTGGATTTTCAGTAGAACCCACGCCCCTCTACATGAGGGACTGCCCACCTGGATTATTCTTCCTCCTCCTGGCGGGCAGTTTCTCTAGCATGGGGAAGGACTCCAGTGAGGAAGACTGACACTTTGAGTGAGCAATATCACACTTTGTGTTCTCAGGGCAACAGTGGCGTTTATCCTCACAACACACCGCCTGCAGAAGAGGAGAAAATACATTCAGAAAGCCACGAACACTAACTGAATACAAAACGGAATAACCGCTATAATAAAGCAAATATATATTTTCGGGTCATTTTACTGGATTTTGTATGTTTATTTTTTACCATAAAAATATAAAATAAAACGTTTTGAAGATTTGGGACATTTTGTAGTTCTGCAAATATCTTCAAACATTTCTTTATTATGTCTGTACTGGAAATAATGTAATGGTTTTCAACTGTCTTCAATGTAATTCAACTGTTTTCAAAACTTCAACATAACTTAGAAATGTAGTCTTGGATAATATAGCATTTTCTTATGCAGCTAGAAGAGCAGCAGGCAGAATCTAACACTGACCATCAGACCATGTGACATGTTACTTGGTGCAGGGTTTGTGCTGAGCTAGCAGTTTGAGGCGACAGTGTTTGTGAGCTGGTGTATATCACCTTAGCTAACGGACAGCAGCCCCAGGAGTCGTCGGGAAGCTGGCAGCACGTGGTGTCATCGGGACATTCAGACACCTCGTCCGGACAAGTGATGGCTTTCACCCCCTCCTCGATCTGCGACATCACACATTACAGACCATGCATACCAATGAATGAAAAAAAACAGCACATCAATGGCAGGACTGCAAATGTATATACCGTACTAGCATTCCTTCTCTTATAACAAATGGAGTGCAAATGAAACTGATCTTATTGTGAGTAAAAAGTTTCATTTAACCTACATTTTTCAAAAAGATATATATATATATGAAAGTCTTAAGGAGGAAGTCTAGAAAAATAATCAAAGGCTAACAGAATGTTATGCTCCATTGATTGTAATGCAAAGGTTGATCAACAACTCGAACTTGCTACAAAATAACATCTCGTGTTCAAATACCTTTGTTACAGCTACCCGAGGGACGAGTAGGGCCTGTTTGGCAGGAAGTCGTCTCATCCAGGGCAGAGAAACTGTCTTATTAACACACTTTGAGTGAACCAGATCACAAACAGTCGCCTCAAAGCAGCAGTGGAGGTGGTCTGAACAACACTCAGCCTGCAGGCCGAATCAAAACATGATTAAGGTTTAATGAAACACACAGCAGCACAGAATGACGTGTAGGACCAAGAGTTCACCTTGTACACACCTTCAATTCTTTAAAAGCTCAATATAGACTCTGAAAAACCAACCCGAGTCTAGTCTAGAGAGGCTTCTCAATTCTTAAATTTCCCCTCCTCGACTCCCCTCCTCGACTCCTATCCTCGAGACTTAGTCCCGCCCACAGGAGATGCGAGCGGAGGAGCCGAGGACAGAGGAGGGGAAGCAGCAGGCGGTTAGAGAAATGAGAACTCCGCTCCTCTGAGCGGTCATTTTAAAGAGACGTCCATTAATGATGACAGGAGGCACAGCAGCACTCTGTCTGATGGACAGATGTGTTCATGACGACTTATATATTTACTTTGATTCATTCACAGTGCGGTATAATGACAATAACAGGCTACAGATCACACACACACACACACACACACACACACACACACACACACACACACACACACACACACACACACACACACACACACACACACACAANTTGAACCCAAAGACGCTTTACATTTGGGAGGGAGGGTAGACAAACAAAACAAAAAAAAACAGAAAAGCAGTCAGGAGGAAGTTGGTTGAGAGGGGGGGGCGGGCTTATCGATATACAGAGTTGAAGAGGTGGGTTTTGAGGTGGGACTGGAACAGGGTGAGGGACTCAGACTCACGGAGGTCTTGGGGGAGGGAGTTCCAGAGCTTCGGGGCTGCCACAGAGAAGGCTCTATCCCAGATGCTCCGGAGTTTGTCCTTAAAATATGATTTAGAAGGTCTTAAAAATGATGGGATTTGAAAGTTAGCTTCTGTGTTGCGATCACGTCTAAATGTGTTTTGGGGGAAATGTCCGGGCTGCAAAGTAACCAGCACGGTAATAGCCTTTCAGTTCCCCCCAACAATTTGTATTGAAATAAATGAACATGGAACCAGTAATCACTAACTTTGCATCCCCCGGCTCCTTATCGGAAAACACCCAGCTAGTAACCTAGCAACCAAGCTTCAGCTAGCTGCAGTCAGAAACTCGGGTATCTTCAAATCTACTTAGGCTACAAATAAATATGGGGAAGTGTAAGTTCAACCGTATTTGGTCGGAAAACATCGAATTTAGTGCTTGGTTGAAACCAGTGGAGGGGAATGTGTTTGAAGCCAGCTGCACCGTTTGCAAATGTAGCGTTTGCTAATGCAGCAGCTCCCACAACAATATCGGGGGACGTTTGGGTCTACGTCAACCCTAAAAGCGGAGGTGCTGTATAGACGCTAAATATCATAGTTAAACACCAATCCCCATCTGGCCGGGGACAACAGCTGGAAATTAGCCATGTCGGCTAAAGCTGCGCCATTTACTGTTTTTGTGACAGTTCATCAATGGGGACTGTCCACGACACTATAAATAAATAAACTAAACTAAACAATCCTACAACAGCAGCAACGATGAAAGATTTTAGCCAAGGCAGCAGATCTCAGAAGATACTCTTGTCACACACACACACACACACACACACACACACACACACACACACACACACACACACACACACACACACACACACACACATTTTGTCTAACACGCTAACACAGTTCTGTGTACTATTATGCTGTTATGTTCAGTCATCGTTCTTATGTTCAATCAACATGAATACATTTATTTTGTAAGTATTATGGGACGTATTTCTTCTTTCATAACAATTTTCCTTCATACTTTCTTGCTGTGACATAGGTCTTAAATTCTATTCAAAGTGGTCTTAAAAAGGTCTTAAAAACTCTGACATTTGAGTTGGTGAAACCTGCAGGAACCCTGATTAACACGGGAATCTGAAAACTGTGTCAGATATGCCTGAAGTGCCCTCACCCTGTAACATGGATAGAAATAGTAGCGTGATGTGGGTAAAAAATTAGGGGAAGCCAATAATACGTCTTTTCTTTTGGGTCGGGGGTGTGGTGGTCAATGTAATAACGTAACCAGATGAGTGATTACAGCACCCGGTATCATTTTACACACATTTGTATCATACAGATGCAGGACTTACACACGCCTGTTATCTGACCGACACGCACTCTCCAGTCGAAACTCTAATAAGCATTCATTCACAAACTAAATCAGGAGACCTTTAACGTTTTACGTCCGATTCGCTCCTTTTTTCCTCGCTGTACACAGCTCCACTTTGGGCATTGGCCTGTCATCAGATTTTATTTGTTGTTGCTGGCTGCTGTAGCGGAAGTTTAGTACAATTATTTTTGATTAAATACTCCAAATCTCCACCCTCCATAATTGCACTTGCTTCAGTTGCTTGCTACTTTCTAACGGCGGTGAGAGTGGTGCAGTGACGCTATCTATCTTCTATCGATTAGATTTATGATTCGAAAATTATAAAAGTAGGGTAGACATGTGGATATTATCCGACTGAACAAAACGTGCATTTACCTAACAGGTTCGTTTTCCACTGACCTTTTTTCGAGCTATTTTCCAAAATCCTATGGAGAAATCCCATTGCTATTTTGTCGAGGGAAACCGAGCGCAGCTTACTTCCGTTTTTTGGGACGCGTCACTGCACCACTAAATTGATGCGATTTGATTGGATTGTGAGGCAAGGGAAGCCAGCCGCCTCTGGCTTCCCTTGGCATGGCCCTGACCAATCACAGGTTGGCAGGGGCATGACGTGAGCCTCATCTGATTGGTCAATCCCTCCATTTTTTTTCACCAAGGGAAGCAAATTTCGGCTGGCCTCCTCTCGCAACAGAGTGCAATCTACTGTTTCACCATAACATCTAGAGGGGCGCTGTTTCACTCTTTGTAAAATACTCAATGAGAATGGGGGAGAGACGGGCCGGCAGCAACACACAACAAAGAATTTACGAAACTAAACGAAGTGTTTTTATTTATTTATTAAAATTATAACTACAATCCGAAAAAACAGGGGAAGCCTGGCTTCCCTTGGCCTCCAGGAGAAAACGCCACTGTGTGTAGTGCTGCTTCACAATGTTCCCCTTTGGTGTCTCAAGACAGCAGGACATTTTGAAATGGCAAGGAGTGCAAATTACAATTCCTCCGTGATCTACTTTGACTTGGCTTGTTTAAACATCACTTTTGCGAAAAGTGTCAAATACACTTAAATACATGGAATACATATTCTGCATTAATTGCTGTCGAGCTCCTTAATGCCCACAAATAGCCTTAAAACAAGGGATGAAGCTTTGCGAAAATGTCATTTTATTCTTTATTTTTTAATGACTTATGATTGTGATTGTATTTATATGAATAACATTCAACCCTTCATCATGTTACTTGATAACCTAATATGTGAAGTTCAAATTGACATACAGTATCTCTCACATACGACGCCTGTAAGCGTGCACTCCCTGATTCTTGCAACTCGTACTCCCAATTCACTATTGGGGTTTTGAAACTGAGCTGTGAAAGGTTTCAAGCGCAACAGCAAAATCCCCTCTCAGATGAGGGTATAAACCGACACCTGCAGTCAGTCTAAATTGGTCCTTGAGGTTTTTCTGATCTGTGCTAACAACAGATCTCAAGTCAAGTCAAACTTTATTTTCCCACCAGGCAGCTGGGGCTACAAACACATTCATCGGAAAAAAAAAATCCATAATGCATCAGATCACAGGGACAAATAGTACATATTGTGAAGTCCTTTCAAATTAACAATCAACAAGGGTTCAAAAAGACACTGATGCTTTTCACTGGCGATGGTTACGTCATTTAAATGTATTTCTATCTAAATTGAACTGACTGCATGGTTAATCTACTGTCCATGGGTTTGGGTATATACATATAGCATGCAGAGTAATAAACTCCCGCATGTAGAGCAATATATTTTATCTTGTAATGAAAAGCGTTAAACCGTGCTTCATTCACAATTATTTAACCTAAGTCAATCTCATCCAAAAGAGACGTTTTTCAATGAGTGTACTTAAAAATGCATTAAACTTAACACACTCCTCATATGCATAAGTTGTAGGCCTACACACTCACACTGCTCCCTACCCTTCCTTAAATAGTTCAAGTCATTCAGAGTTGGTAGGATTAGCAAAGGTCCAAACTTATGTTAAATAAATCCATACACAGCAATCCTCAAATACTGAACATATCAATTCTTAAGGCAGTGTAAGTGAATTTGAAATATGCAAATCTTAAAAATAGGAAGCAGATGTAGGGTGAAACGGAGAAACATCGCTGAGTTTCAAATCGCATAGTGTTTCTTTTAAACTATAGCTACTCTTACAAAAAATGCATGGAGTATGTACTCAGAGGACTATACTCATGAAAGCATTGCACCTTGAACTTTGTCCTCTGTGCAGCGGATTGTGGGTCAGTATCATCTGTATACATAAATGTTAGAATACCTAGAAAAACATGCTGCCTAATAAACTGCAAAATGGAACCAGATGAAAAATGACTTCCTGGTATTTTTTGTCATGCTGCATTTGACACACTCAGCATTAGAATCTTGGAATGTACGACAGAGAGGGACATTCCTACAACCAGGAAGCTGTGTGTTTTGTCCTGCAGTTGTAGCCCTGCCCCCTGAGCTTTCTGGGTCAGTTTGCCTAACAGACACAGACTTTCTTCACTTCTGCTGAGTCACCCCAGCACGTAAGTAGAGCTGTTGAACTGTGAATGGTTTTCTGTATTTTAGACAATATTGCATTCACATTCATATGTGGTCAGACTTACTTTAAAACCCACAAGCTGAAAGTTGTTTGTTCAGTTTTTGTAGCAGAGGTGTGTCTGTTTCTTTTACTTGATCTGTATAAACAGTGCATTTAAAACCTTACAAACAACCTGATATTCTCCACTTGATAGTAATAAGCCTTGAGTGCACTCTGATCCCACTTTTGACACTTTTGTGGACGTTTTGAAGACATTTGGCAGCAGGATTGTTTTAATCTATGTTGTTTTGTTAAGTCTATTTTGTATCTTTGCCACAGCGTGATCCTTTCTCTTC